TTCAGATATACCAAACAAAATCCTGGAAAAGAAATCTGCGTTTCTGAGAGCTAATTCTTTTAAGTAATTGTTTTTAAATATATTTTACAGCAGATGGATTCTAGAGGAGAAGGGAAACCGCCAAGGATGAGAAGGTAATTGGTGAACAAAGGCACAATGCAAATGCGATGTGCTCTTTCTCGCTTGCAGCTGGATAAATCTCCCTGTCTCGGCAGGTGGCAAGTGAAACCCAGCCCGGGAGCAATTCTCACGGTTTCTGTGGTTAATCCCCAGGCGGGCCAGACCAGCGCGTAAGTAAATGAGGTGATTTGTTAGGGTGGGAGCCCTACAAAAGCCATTGCAAATCCCTTTAGCATTATTGCAGCTTCACTTCTGTAATGAGTGTGCAGTGAATGGTTCAGACCCAAAATGGTTAGCAAATGATGTCTGGTTCCTTTCCCAGCATATCAGAAGGAGATAAAAATCTCCTGTATTTACCTGTAATTACATGGTAATCTGTAATTACCATGCCCTCATTTGAAATGCAGAGTGAGGAGAAATGGAAGCACAGTTGTGGGAAGAGGTGACATGCTGTTTGTGGGGTGTTAGGAGAAACAGTGTGCCCCAAAGGGACACGTCGTGCTTGCTGTGTAAGAGGAGCTCAGAGGCTGGAAAGGGGCAGCTGAAGGACCTGGCACCCAGCTGGGGACAGAGAGAAGGGTGGGTGAGGGCACTGTGCATGTTCTGGGTGCAGAGAGCAGCCCCCAATAGCCTGGATACGACAGTCCCCTGTGCTAGAACTCTGCCTGCACTGCTGCTCTCCTGGCTGCCTTTCAACTCTGCTGGGGGACGAGTGTGTGAGTGTGTCTTTTACTCCGTGCTGGTTTGCAGAGAGGATGGGAGGTGAGCTGTCTTAGCATCCTGAGTGACTGCAGCTCTGTGTTTTCCCCAGGCCTGGATCCAAGCGCCCATTCCTGCGAAGCCAGAGACCCCCGGCACGGGTGGCCAAGCCCCAGCCCAAGGGGGTGCTGCTGAGATTCAACTTCCGTGCCATGGCCAACCAGGTAGAGGATTATCGACGGGACAGGAGGCACCTGGCTCCCTGCAGCAGCCCTGCCACTGAGCTGTTAATGTCACACTCAGGTTTCTGGGGCTGCCAGCTGGGTTTATCTAACACAACCTGGGAGGAATGTCCCGTAGCTGTGTTGGCCAGGTTGCTCACAAAACTGAAGGCACTTGAGAAGACTGTTCAGCAACTACAGACTCGGCCCAGTTTTTCCCACTCTGATGGCCTGTCTTGGCCTGTCCATGTGCTTGCTTGGAGCAGGGAGGTCCTGCTGATGAGTAGTCCTGGCCAGAGGGGACTGTTTCACTGTCAGTGCTTCCCATTCCTCAGAGACATGTGGCACTTTTGGGCTTTGCTCACTCTTTGCTTTGGTGCCCTTCTTGGTATCACATTTTACACTGAAGTATGGTCCAAGAGCCCTGGGGCAGCTGAGAAATCCCACTCCACCTTCTTCATTGCCGGCGTTTCTTGTCTGGACAGTTTGGTTTTACCTGATGCCTTGTGCTCAAATGCCATCTGCTTGCTCCTGTTCTTGCTGAGGACGCCCTGTGTCTTGGGGCTGGGAGCTGCTTGGAGGTTTTCCAGCCACACACAGTCTGTCGAGCTCCCTGTCTCTGTGTGCTGAGTGGTTTAATTGACTAACCAGCTGTGAAACACCAGCCTGACTGACGGGCTCTAATCAATACCCCGCTACAAGTTTGGCTGTGCTTTGCCACAAGACAAGGGACTGACTCGCTCTCGCTTTCCCCTGCAGACCAGCCTGACGCTGGATGAGAGGTTCTCTGGTCTGAGGAATAAGAGGCGCTTTACAGCAGCCAGGAGTGCCGGACGGACGGTCACCATGCCTTAGGACTGCGTGCTCGTCACAGGGACTGCCTGTGACAGTCCAGGCTCCATGACAAGGGCTCAATAAAAGTTGCTAGATTCCCTTTGAGATAGCTGATTTGGCAATGTGCTGTCTCCTTCCTTACACACAGAGTGAATGACTGATTAAGGGCAGGGATGAGGCAGGATGAGAATTTGGGCTGGAGCACAGGGCAGGTGGGGCATAGGCAGGGTGGTGGAAGGGGATGAGCAGAGATGGATTTGCTGGGAGAGCTCTCTGCTGGGAAGTTGTAGGGCTAGCACCAGCTCTGTCTCCCTGCCAGGGCACTCTGTGCTAGCCAGGGTGATGGCTGATAGTAGGAGGGTGTACCACAGAGCCTTCCCTACATCATCTGGTGGGTGGGACAGGGTTTGAGGATGCTGTGCCTGCCCACGTGGGAGACAGAGGGAAGCAGGGATGCTCCAGCTGCCTACACTCCCCAGCATCCACTTAATTGCCAAACTTGTGCTTGCAGGCATCCCTGCCCAGAGGTTTGCAGTGTAAGACCACTCCACCCTGAAAACCTGTTGCTTTGCCCTGATAGTCAGACCTGAGCACCTTGCATTTCTCTGTGGATTGCTGTGCTGTTCTGACTGCTGCTGCAGGGACGGGGTGAGACATGCCATGCTGTGCTGCTGGAGTCACTGTCCTCAGCACAGAGCACAGACAGGCTGCCCCAGCCCAGATCACATTTTCCAGTGCTGATTAGTTCTGCATTAGGGTTTTTGTAGTTGCAGCTCCACCCATGCTCAAAGCAGCAGCATAATCAAACCCGCAGCAGCATAATCAAACCCGCAGCAGCACTCTGATAAACATTGGCTGAAATGTTACTGAGCTGGGTTTAGACATTTGTTAGTGAAGCCCTGCATCAAACCTGAGTAACTGCTCCATTCTCTATCCACTGCTGGAACTCAGCACTGAACATGCTGGACATAGCCTGTTTCTGGGCTCTAATGTATACTTAAAGGAAATATTTGATAGACTGCTTTGCATTTTACACTGAACATCTTTAACAAGAGACTGGACTTGGCATTGGTTTTATAGGAATGTGTGAAATGTTGTTAGTTGACAAAGCAGTGATGTATGAGTCCAGTGCACTGAATAAAAAACTTAACTTGTCAAATGTCACCTCTCGTTATTTTCTTTCCTTCAACAGTTCTTTGGTGAGTTCAGCTTCTCAGTGTGACACTGCATGGGCTGGTGCTTTGGGGGAAACTGGTCCCCATTGGTGCCTACCTGCAGGGAGTTTACTGCTTTAAAAGCTGGCTCCAAAGCAATGTGAGGTTTTCAATAGGTATTTTGTAAAATCTTTGCTGTGATCTCTTATGCCTTGAATGTTACTGGCAAAATTATCAGAGCAGTCCTGGCTCTGAGTATGTTCAAAATTAAATGCATCCCAACGCCCAGGTTAATGAACTCTGGAGGAGACACCACCCCTTCATGCAAATAATCTGTACGTCATGGAAGTTGAAAAGTTGAGCAAGAAACACGATCACAAATAGCGGTATCCCTGATTTCAGTTGCCTCCTGGCTATAAATATGGACGGTAGATGGCAGACTCACTAGGAAAACAGCACTTCTACCAGGTTGTAAAGGGATGGAGCTATTCAGTCCTGAAAGAACGTCTGAGTGGGAAACATCCTCTTGCTGTTCAGATCACACCCTGATTCTACTTGCCAAATAAATGTTTTTTAGCAATCTGTACTTTATAATATTTTAACCACTCCTTAAATTAATATTGAGGGCTTAGGTGATAAAAACTGGGTTTTTTTCCTGAGCTCGATTCCCTTGCAGTGCTGGGTGACTTTTTATGTAGCAGGAGATAAAACAGGCCTTGCACTGAATTCACAAGTAGACAAAATGTGTAACCATTACACTAAAAATGTACAGGGTGAGGGCACAGTGTGAGCTCAGCCCAATAGGCATAAAATACCCCTTTCTGTCACTAAGTACTGAGTACTAAACCCACAGAATAATTGTCTCTAACAGAATTACTCCTGCTGTTGTGCACAGGGTGAGCTGCTGCACAGTGCTTGCCTGTCCTTTGGGGAGGGTACTTGTGTGACACAGTTCAGCTGCTTCCTGAGCCATCGCCAGGGGCACGTGTGGCCTGTGCCCATCCCGTGTCTGACAGTTCCTGTGCACTGTCCTGTGCTGGACAGGTGGCCCAGCAGTTCTGCACCTGGGGAGTGGCAGCAGCTGGCTTTGGCTGAACTCCCGGCCAGGATGGCTAAACACAGGCTGGGGCCACTGTGAAGGCACCGCTCTGTGACCTGGAAAACTTCTACTCTGTTTTAGGCCAGGCAACACTGCCTCCAGAGTAACATCTCTGACGGTGTCTGAGAAATTTAAAAATGTAGAAGCAATTGCATAGGGTTAGAAGAGAGTCCCCACAGCGCATCCCAGGGCAGGAGGAACACCAGCAAAGGTTTGTGGCCCTGCTTGGTCACTGAACTGAACCCACAGTACCACTGACCTGTGTCTTTAGCCACTTGTATCATTGGATTTCACAGCACTTCGTGGAGCCAAGGCAGGAGGGCAGCGGGCAGGGCCCAGCGGTGCCCGAAGGCAGCGGGCAGAGCCGCGCTCGCAGCGGCGCCGAGGCTGCCGAGCCGATGTTCCCCGTGTTCCTTCGGCTCCGAAGCCTCCCCGCAGCCGCGCCCTCCCGAACGGGTCCCCCGCGCCCTCGCCCGCTCCCGTCCCGGCTGCGGGACTCTCCCTCCCGGGCTCCCTCCGCTCCCGGGATGCCCCCGTCGCCAAGAAGATCCCGAGCCCGAGCCCGCTCCCTCAACCCCCGCAGCGCCCCCTAGCGGCACACGAGCCCTCGGGCACGCAGCCGTACGCCCATCCCCGTGAAGCCCCGCCCCCCTGCGCCGTCGCCGCCGCGGATTGGTTGTCGCGGGCGAGGGGCGCCTCGAAGCCCCGCCCCATCCCGCGGCGCCCCCTGCGGGCCCCGCGGCGCCTGCGCAGCGGCCCCGGCCGTTGTTGTGGAGGGGCCGGTCAAGATGGCGGCCGGGCAGGGGGGCGGTGGCGGCAACAACGGCACCGGCAGCGGGAGCGGGACGGCGCCCGGGAGCGGAGCGGCGGGGCTCGGGATCCCCGCGCACCTCACTCTCTCCTTCTCGTCCGGGCCGCACTGGGGCGCGGCAGCTCTGCCGCAGTCGCACACGGTGCGCAGCCTGGAGCGGGCCCTGGAGGAGGCGGGCAGCTCGGGCATCCTGTGCCTGAGCGGGAGGAAGCTGCGCGACTTCCCCGGCAGCGGCTGCGACCTGAGCGACACCACGCAAGCAGGTGAGGGGGCCCTGGCAGTGCCGGCCCGGGGCTTTGGGCGTCCTGCGGGGCCGCTGCGGGGCCGGCGCTGAGGCCGGGGTCTTGTAGCCGCTGTGGTGGCCGCCGGGGCCGGGCGGTGGCGGGTGCGGGGCCCGGGGATGCAGCGGGGGGGTCCCCGCGATGTCAGGGGAGGGCTGTGGGGGCAGCCGAGGGGGTGACACGGGAGCGGCCGCTCTGGGTGAGGAGCGGGGACCGCGCTGTGCGAGGGCAGTGAGGAGGCTCCGCGTTTGCGGGGCTCTCCGTTGCAGGCACCGGGACGGGCTCTGGAGGATGCGGGGCTGCGGTGTCGGAGCTGCCCCGCTGGGCGCGCTGGGGGCCGGTTCTGCCGCGCGAGTGTGGGGCGAGCGTCCGTGCAGGTGTGGGCTGTGAGCGGGGCACGCTGAGCCCGCTGTGTGCGAGCGGAGCGGGGGACCCGGAGGTGCCTGGGGAGGTGGGGGGCGAGCGGCTCTGTGTGAGCGGCTCTGAGCGAAAGCAGAGAGGTGTGTGTGAGTGTGGAAGGGCACAGGGCTCCGTGTGTGTGTTTGTGTGTGCGGGGGCACAGGGCTGTGCATGTCCGAGCTCACCGCGCACTGCGATGCTCCATGTATTCTGGGGGTTGCTCTCCCCGTATGCGCGGCGTCGCTTTCGATGAACGAACTCCTGCAGGGATTTTGTGAAAATAGAACCCTGTGTCTTGGGCTTGCGTTGTTGCAAGGATTTTCCTACACAGACAGTTTATCTTCCTGACAGCATCTGGTTAATTTTCCCTCTCCCGTTGCAGGGCACCTCATGCATGGCTACCGAGAATCTCCTACATTGGTGAGTGGAAAGAAACCTTTGGTGTGTTGCAGTCGCATGCAGCCTGGTGGGCTGAGAGAAAGTTCCTGTCAGTCTTATTGCAGCAGCAGAAGCTGGGGGATCCCTGGCTGTTTTCTCCTTTTCTCTTGAAGAACTTTTGAACAGCTGCAAGAATGATTTTGTAGCCAGAAGACTGCGTGCTGGTTTTGGCCATTTTAGGGTATCGAATTCACAAGCGTAAGTGGCAATGTCTATTTTAGCCCACTGTTAGTTTAAACACCCCAGAATGCTATTTCTCCTTGGTGCAAATGGTCGTATAGCTGAGGATAAGTAAGGCCATAAATGTGATACAACTTCCTGTCCCTCAGTCTACTGTCTGTCCACAAAGCACAGAAGCTGTGTCTCCTCTAGCTCTGTCTTTCTCCAAAGAGGAGGCCAAAGAGGAGAAAGACAAGAAGGCTGGAGAGCAGGGACAAAGTGAAGTTCCTTCTGTTCTCAGAGACAATGGTGAGCTTCCTACAGTTCTTGAAGATGGTGGTGAATTTCCCCCCATTCTGGGAGGTGACAGCAAAGCTCCAGCAGTGTGGATCGAGGGTGGCGAATGTCTTGTGGTGTGGGATGAGGAGTGGGAACATCCTGCAGTGCAGGAAAAAGGACAGCAAGGATCTTGCAGTGTGGGAGGACGAGGTCAAACATCCAGTGGTGTGTAAAGAGGACAGCAAGCATCAAGCAATGTGGGAAGAGGAGGGACGACATCTCTCTGCACGTGAAGAGCACCGAGTGATGAACATCCCAGTGTTCGGGAAGAGGATGGTGAAGCACCACCATTTTGGGAAGAGGACAGCGAACCTTCCTCTGTTGAGGCATCATGGGCTAAGCATTCTGACAGCAGCATAGCCCTGCAGCCAGAGGGGAGAGGAGAGAAGTGCCTGATGCAGCTGAGTACGTTCCCTGTCTTGTCTGCCAGAGCAGGGTGTGGTGTGTATGTGAGCATTGGCTGTATTCAGTATTCCTCTGCAGCTGAATGTCACAGAGTAGTTTATTGCTCTTGCCCACCTGAGTACAAGGGGCACAGAGCCCCAGAGAGTGGGGCTGCATTTTGGCTCTGCTGCAAGGTGGGATCTCCATCTTGAAGTGACTGCCTTTCCTGTTTCTTTCAGGGAGCACTGTGAGCATGGGGGAGCCTGCCAAGAAACACACTGAAGCAGAGCCAGTTGGCCAAGGGTAAGTTCAAGATACTGATGTTTACACAAGCGGGGGCCAGGTATTTTGCTGGAGGGCAGTAATATCTTTTAGAGCAGGACATACTGGTGTGATCTTAATCTCTAAAAATGTGAAATATGTCAGCTGGTGGAGACTGCCATTATTGAGGCCAAATTTATCTTAGTCCCAGGTTAGGACAGTAACACTTTAGCATTTTTTCCATCCTGCATTTCATCTTCAAAGGATACTGCAAGACCTAATTAAGGAGAAATCTTGCTTGGGATCAGTTTTGGGTTTAATTTTCAGCAAATTCATAGAGAGGGCAAGATAAATGAGAAGACCTATGTCAAGAGCAAAGCCCTCTCCTAAACCCTACAGTTGAGTTTAGGTCTGGTGTCAGTGACAGCCCACGACTCATATTAGTAACGTATGCTGCATGCTTGCTCTTTATGCAATCCCAGACAACAGCAGTGATACTTGAAATAATGACCAAACTCTTCCCAACTGTTTTGCTCTATTATCACAGGACCGGAATTGCTTCCTGCTTGCAAAATGTGCGTGAATATTAATAATAGTGGTGATAAACTAAGGCCATTTGAGAATGTAGGTGCAGAGAATGTCATTAGAGCTCTGTGGATAATGGATAAGAGATCACTTCTCCAGAGCTTCCAAGGCCAGATGTCTCTGGCTATGTGTCCTGTAAGTGGCCCCTGAATGGGGAATGTCACTGAGCTCTGGTGTGCATCCCAAGACAATTTGGCACAGCTTGGCTCTGACGTTCCAGAAAGATTTTCTGCATGTTTGTTGTGGTCTCGTGCCACAGCCTCTCCAGCTTTGCCTGGAGCTTGTCTGCACTGCACTCCTTGCTGGTCAAAGCAAAGTTGCTGGTGGTATAATTGTAAACTGTCCTTCTGTTGTATATTCAGGTTGTTAATTTTTACCCTTGTGCTTCTTCTTTGTGTCTGCAAGCCCTGGATTTCCTTCATTTGAACCAGGTGATCCAAAGAAAACTGAAAAGCTCCAGCATCCTTCTGGGAATGGATGGCCCTGTCAAGAGCTGTAACCACTGTCAAGGGTAGGTATCCTTGGTCAGGCACAGTGTTCCCAGGATGCGGGTGTGGGGCTGTGTCCCAGTGATGACCAGTGGTGCTGGTGAGAGTGCCTGGACCCTGCTGCCAGCTGAGAGCAGCTGCAACGTGCAGAGAGGTCTGGAAAAGAGCAGGGTGTCAAGAGGGGCTTGGCTTTGTGTATGTCCCTTCCAGAGGGGAGGGAGTAAGAATCTAAAGCTTCAAGTGAATAAATAAAAGCCACTGCCTGAAACCTGAGGGTATCTTTAAGTGGCCAGTTGCATATTTCTTTGGCTCAGAGGACTTTTGCAGCTGGATTCAGTAGTAAATTCTCAGACCTATAGCTGGGAATTCTTTTGATTTTTAATTCCAGCTAACTCTTGACAGTGTTTTTGTCCTCAGCTGATTTTGGCTTCTGCACTCAGCTGACCCTTGAGCAGGATCATTAGACCTCCATGGTGGGCACTGTTCACTGAATGGCCCCAGAAGTTTTGATCAGTTCTCCTTATGGCCCCAAGGTAGACATCTGGTCCTTTGGGATAGTGACCCAACAGTGTGTGGAAGGAGAACCTCCTTACTTCAGACAAACTTGCAGATGTCCAAGTGTTTGCATAGGCCTGTGTGCCCAGGATGGCTCTGCACTGGGATGAGCCACTGGATGTTTGTGCACACGATGGAAAGAATTTCCCAGAGCACTCAATGAAATTGGCTGTCAGGGCAAGCTCGTTTGCATGCAGCTTGGCTGCATCAGGGTTTGGGTTTTATTGCTGGTACAGAAAAACGATCTCTGAGCAGCATCTCTGCCTGGGAGGACACTGCCCCTGGAGCCTGGGGCTCAGGAACTGGGGTTGCTGTGAGCAGCTGTGGGTGTGAAGGGAACTGGTGCAGCGTTGTGTTGGCTTTTCCCCCAGCTCATGCTCTGATGGGGCAGAACAGGACCCGGCGTTGTTGCAGGAATTGCTCAGCACAGCCTGGAGCCAGGTGAGGAGCGGCGCTGCTCTGCCTGGGAGCTGCTGCAGGTGAGTGCAGCGCAAACAGCGGTGCAATAGTGGGGTTTTCCTGTCCGACCCCCGTCCTGTAATCTGCAGTCTTGGTGCTTTGCAAACTGAGAGCAAGCAGAATGAATCCTAGACTGGTTTGGGTTGACAGGGGCCTTTCAAGGTCATCTGGACCAGGTGCCCTGCAGTGAGCAGGGCCATCTTCAAGCAGATCAGGTGGCTCAGAACCCTGCCTGACCTAACCTTGAGTGATTGCAGGGGTGAGGCACTTTCTGCATCTCTGAGCAACTTCTGTCAGTTACCACATTCTCCTTGTAAAAAAGTTTTTCTTTACATCTTATCTGAGTCTGCTGACCTTCCCTTTTAAAAGTTTAAAACCACTCTCCCTTGTTGCCCTATTGCAACAGGGCCTGTAAGGAGCTTGAGTTTGGAAAGGAACGCTTCATTTCTTTATATTTTATTCTTTGGGCAGCATCCATTTTTATCAGCCAAGCCTCTCTCCAGCTTGACACCTCTGATCACTGCAGCAAAGCAGTTGAGGGAGCAGCAGAGATGCAGCACTAGAAGACAGCTTTTTGTTACGCTAGTTAGGATAGTTAGGTTTGTTATGGTAGTTAGGACAACTAATTTGATATGCTAGTTACGACAACCAGTTTGTTAAGCTAGTTAGGACAGCTAGTTTGTTATGCGAGCTAGGACAATTAGTTTTTTATGCTCGTTTTTTGAATAAAAACTCTTAAACCTCAACTCCCTTGAAATATCCCTTCCTTATCACCCTATGATTCAGCTGACCGGGGCAATGTGAGGGGAGAGCTGAGCCCTGGCAGAGCCCGGAGCAGACTCAGCATCTGCAAAGCCAAGCTGGAAGGAAGCTTCCAGGAAGCTTGGCAGGGAGATGTGATCCCAGCATACACATTTGGTGGCCACCTGCGAGCCAAGAGAAGCATCGGTCTGAGGTCGCTGCCTGCCCTGCCACTCTCCGGGGGTCCCCGAGCAGGTGCTGCCGAAGCCGCCGCTCCCCAGTAGGGATCCTACTCTGTACTGCTCCTGCAGGGCTTCCTTCGGCTTCCCTGCAGCATTCGGCCTGGCTCCAGGGACGGCCCCTGACCGCCCAGGACCTGGCTTCTCTATCGGGTGCCGGCGGCCGAGCGGCGGAGCTCGGGCCGGGGACCTCGGGAGGCGCGGGAGTGTTCGCGGCTCGTGTCCCCTATGGAGCGACGGCGAGCCAGGCGAAGCCCCGGGACAATGGGCCAGCTCCAGATGTCATCAGCTCCGCTGGTGCCCGCCCAGCAGCGCCGCAGCCTGAGCGGCCAGAGCCGGGCGGAGGCGGGACCGCGGCGGGACGGCCCGGGGCGGGGAGGGAGCGGGACACCGGCAGGGACAGGACAGGAGGAGGAAGCGCAAGAGTAATAGCGGGAGCGGGGCCGGAGAGTCATTGCTAACGCCTCCGCCGTGCTGCCGGAGCCCGCGGCCGATTGTCCGCTGGTCCGAGTGTCCCTTGGTCCGTCAGTCCGTTCCCCGCTGGCTGAGCCCCGGGGCAGCACCGGCCACGCGGGGCCGCTGAGCTGGGGGGGGACGCGCCAGGCTCGTCCGTGCATCCTTTATACATCATTTGAGCCTAATTAAAGACGCCGTGATTGATAATTGACAATGGATACCTGTCCCCCTTAGGTTTTAACTAATGGGAGGTTTTTATCTAATGGGAGGCTAGGCTAGATACCTTTATGAGGGCCTACATACGCTGATCCACATTTTCTTGAATATAAAAATCCTTAATTGATTGTAAGAATTTTAACCGTGGTAATGCACAAACTTGCCGCAAGATGGCAAGTTATGACTGCATTAGTCATAACTAATACCTCACAACTCCAGCGAGGCAGTCACCAGGAGAAACCAAACTATGATCACTGGGATGGGGAACGAATGTTTACAAGAAGCATTTTATGAAATCTAGGTTCCTTTTCTCAAGATTAAAAATAGTTTTGAATCTATTCCTTTTCTCTGCCTTTTAACTTGCTAGGGTTCTCTGACACAGGAGGGCTATTTTACACAGTAGTTTCTGGTTTGTTTGTTTTAAAAAGCAAAAATAAAAATTGAGACAAAAATTGAGATTGTGTTTCTTAAACATATGCTAAGTATTTTGGGAATTATTTCTTAAAAAGTAATGAACTTCCGTTTATTGTTTCTTTTTGTGGGAGACACATGAGTCAAAAGCTGGAGACCAGTGAGTGTATTTAAGAGCAGGAATACAAGAACATTCCTACCTCTCCATTGCTATTCCCTGTCTGATTCTTACACCATCATTCTTGCCAGTGGAGGAAATCTATTCAATTTTGGCCAATGATGCCTCACAGGTAAAATTCTTTTAGAGAGAAATTACCCATCAAAATATGAGGTAATATTGTTGCAATAAAGCAGCTGGGACTCAGTTTCTTCATGCAAGAGAAACCAATTCTTTATTCACATAACTCTTTTTATACAGTTTTTACAGACTTTGTGTTCAACTCCAATTGATTAGTAGTTTTCTTACCACTTACTCTATTGGTTAGTAAAAGGCATTTTGCTTGTCCATCAAGTCTCTTGGTTCTTTCATTGTTTTACATACCTTCACTGATTCTCATGGTATAGTTTCATTGTTAAGGTGCCACTTATTTTTCTCCCTAAGAATAGATTGTTGTGCAAACAAATTCTCATTCTCAAGATTTTTTCACAGGCGAACTTAGCTAGCTGCACACAGAAGTAACAAACCAGTTGGTAATGTAGCAGAGCACTGCCTGATTTTCTAAGGCCTTTCTTTTATAACATCTTTTACCTGTCTGTAACATAATGTAATTACTGAATAAAGGCAATTATTACACATCTTACAGAGGTAACATTTCAACAGAAAGGGGGCTACATTCTACACCTTAAGTTAAGCCAAGTCTTGATCAAAACACTTGAAATCAATTTAACAATGTCAAGGCTGTTTATCAAACCAAAACTGCTGAAAGGCAGGGCAGGGGAGAATGCATGTAAAAACCTGGAACAGCAAGTGTCCAGGTTAGGAATCAAGAGTGAAACCCTGGTTACATTAAAGCCTCAGGGAATTCTGCCTTCAGTTCCATGGCTTTCCAGATCTTACTTGCATGTAGTGTGAACGACCTCTGTCAACATTTATCCCTGGCCTGTTTGTTACTTTCTCCTCAGGTAATGTCTTTGCAGTTCATCTTGTCTGTTAGGATTTATTCTACACAACAGAAATCCCCTCAAACTACTGAGACCAAGCTCCCCCAGCAAGGAATAACATTTTCTACTCTGAATCTGAGTGACAGCAAGTATCACAGTACAGTGCATCCATTCATGAACATTTACATCATTTCTATCCAGCCCTTCATCTTTCAGCATCACTTAACTGACTCAGTGACTAAGCAGCACTGCCAAACCCCCGTGACAGTGACGAGCAGTGATAACCAGCCTGCTGACAGCCTTTCTCATGTGGACTTCTGGGCTTGTTTAAAGAGCATCATAAGCAATACTACACCTTTGATACAGCTCCATTGCTGCTGGCTTATCTGAGATAAACCTTGAAGGTCAACAAAAACATAGCTCTGTTTTTGGAATAATAGGGTGTCTGTCTGGCTTTATTCCAGTCCATGATAACTGTCAAATCAACTTCAACAGAGCCAGGGTTTTATTAAGGGCTTAACTTCAAAGGCCATAAAGCATCAATTACTCACAGGAAGTTGAGGTGTTGGTGGTCTGTCTTGCTTCCTGTGAAAAGACAGGAGAAATTAGGAGAGGCTGTGCTCTAAATTGCTAGAGAAGATAAAATTATTTATGCTCTTCATTCATAAGTTCATAATTTGTCAACTCCCTGCTTCCATGTGTTCTGGTTTCTCTTTACAGCATGAAATGCTTCACTTCTGTTTGGGTACATACAATACATATTTATAGAAATCAACATATACAGGCCTTTCTTTCCACAGAGATTTGCATAAGGTGCAGTTATATCTACGCATTTTATATTTAGAACACTCTGTATTCTGCCCATTTCTGAATTATTCAGTAATAGTTCTCTTTAGTTACAAGAAAAAAACCCTTTATATTTATGTACAGATAGAATTCCATTAACTGTAGTTATATTTAAGCCTTTTGCAATTAAAGACATTTAATCCCAAATGCTAAGAAGAAGTCTTTGGAGACCATTAATTTGAAAATTTGTTTACAACTTTTGAATAGGATCTGAGGATACTAACTTCCAACCCTGAGAAAACCACCTCACTTTTTATTTGAATTAAACTTTCATGGACTTAAAATACAATTTAAATATTAATGACATATATGCTCCTTATTTAGGGAGAAATGCATGCATTAGAAGGCATATTGATTAAACTCAATGTAATTTTAATGGAAACAGGTAAACACTTGATTAGCAGCCAGTAAAAATCTGTTTTAATTTACATAAAACCTTATCTTCTCTTTGAACCCAAGGTCTAGCTCATTTAACTTTATGTTGCTTGACATAAATAATTTTAGTATTGTTATAACATTGCTAGTGACTTTCAGCAGAATCTCATCACATATTCTGACACAGGGTTTATAACTTTGATGTTAAAAGAGAAGTTAAATACTAAAGGGTGAAGAAAAAGATATATTTTTTGCTACATATTTAATTTTTAAATTGTTTGTGCTAAATTGTCAGTAATTGTTTTCTTGAACTTCTTGGTTCCGCAATATCTCTTGCTTTATCAGCAAGCCTGGTTTAGCACATAAGAATTGCAAATAACATATTTCCAGTAATAATGAATTCAATATGTTGCTCTCAGTAACAGCCATGCAGCAAGTGAACAATGTCAGCCAATGAACAATGAATGTCATTGTGTGTGAACACAGACAGTGCCAGTCACAGCTGTCACTAATTTACTGCTTGTAGCAGAAATAACCTGACACCCCAAGAAAATGATTTGGCAAAAAAAGAAAACACTTCAGAGTCATCACTCAAGGTTCCAGCAGAGTTGACTGGGAAAAGTTATTTTTGTTTGTTTGTTTTTAGACTGAGCATTTGTGCAGTGGCATCTTTCAGTTTAGGACTCTGGATATATCAAACAAAACAAAAAGTTTTAGCATCAGCTATCAAATTCTTATTTAATATGTAAGGTTCAAAATGCAGCAATGAGACAAATCTTCCTTTTTGTCAGAAATCAATATCTAATTTACCTTAGCAGTACTTCAGAAGCATTGGAAGTTATCACTAAAGCAGGTATCTGTGCTAGCTCATTCACAACTTATAACTCAAAAATCTATTTTAAAGACATGTTATGCAGTATAAAATATTACACACAAATGAGCTCAAAACAACAGGAATATTTTTCATTAGCAACTCTCATCTCAGAAAGATCATCTTGTCTATGCATTAATTCCACTGCCCTTTGTGCAAATGAATTTAGATCCTGTGTTCTCTGGGTCAGTGCAGTACCAAGGCCTGAACAACAGGCCCAAGCTAAAGCTGACCTCTAGATGAACATTCCAACTAAATGTTATATATGTAGTTGTTCATTAACAAAGTATTGTTATATGTGTTCACTTACTGGCAAAACATGTTCACCTTTATGTGTCTAGAAACAGGATAAGGCCACATCCAGCCTAATTAAGGGGTGTAGGATCAAAGACAACTCCCTTGGATCCTCCTTGAGCCCTGGCCAGGCTTTAGGAGAAAGCTGGCAGGAAAATTATATTAGAAATCATATCAGCTGGTTTGTTTAGCATTGTAAAAGCTGGACCACTGTCAGAGCAAAGTGGAGGAGCCTCGTGGCCTGCAAAGGTGGAGGCACTGCAGGAGTTGCCAGTTACTGGAGTGGTTCTCCAGCCCTTGCCTGTGACAGCTTCCCCCCACAGCTGATGTCTCTTGGACTTGGGTGATGTATCTTCACTGGTGATGTATTTTTCTTTATCACTGTAGGCATTCTTTCGTAGCAGTGATTAGCATTGCTCAGCTTATCCCTTTGGAAATCTTTGCTCATGGTTAGGTGCCTTGCTTAGCTTATCCTTTTGTGATTCTTTGCAGTTTTACTTCATAGTAAATGCCACTGTTCCTTAAGCTGGTGTCTGTCTCTGACCCTACGCACCAGCAAAACAGTCAGGGAATGCATACATGTTCCACTCAAAATAAACATTTCTGTTTGTTTCATTGAAGTGTGTTGGATTTATTACTCAGCGGTCAGCATTTTAAAGATATAATGATTTGTTACATTTTTT